GAGCGTCAGCCTGCGGACTCAAGGGTCCCAGGTTCGATTCCGGTCAAGGGCATGTACCTGGGTTGCGGGCACATCCCCAGTAGGAGATGTGCAGGAGGCAGCTGATCGATGTTTCTCTCTCATCGATGTTTCTAACTCTCTATCCCTCTCCCTTCCTCTCTGTAAAAAATCAATAATAAAAATATATATATAAAGACTATAGTCCATAGTGTACATTAAGGTTTAGTCCTTGCGCTGGACTGTTCGATGGGTTTTGGCAAATGCCCAGAGGCTTTCTAACCCCGAGGGTGTCTGGGATAAGGCCATTGTTCGCAGCCCTTAGGCAACCTCTCTGCTTAGTCAAAGGAACATGATTTGCCTCAGTTTCCTTTTCCAGTATTTTTGCACCAAGGCTCCAGGCCCCGGGCTCTGACTGGAAACGGGGGAGTGGAAACTGATTAAGGACAGGAAGTCAGATTCTGGTTTGGATCTCCCCAGGGTGAAGCGGCCCCTAAGTTCAATGGCCAGGGCTCCAGTTTCTAACACATTGTAAGCAGCCTACCTCCCAGCTGGGTGTGCCAGGCCCTGGGTGCCAGGGAGGCCTGGCCCGGCGCATTGGAGCCCATGGCGCCTCTCCCTGCAGTTCCGGAGAGGACCGCACTGCCACGCTGCCTATCGGAGGCCTTAGCTATGTCCAGGGTTACACCAAATTCCGTCTGATCAACAAGACCGTGGGACGTTGCCTGGACGTCACAGCAGAGAAGTTCCCCGACCGAGAAGCGTTGATCGTCGTCCATGAAAACATCAGATTGACCTTTGCTCAGCTCAAGGAAGAGGTGGGTCCTGACCTTGAACCCTGAAAGTAGGCAGGTGCTACCCCCAGGCTTCCCTGGCTGGGTGGAGCCACAAGAGCGGCACCTGATGGGAGAAGGGGGGATCAGGGTGTTGGGGCTGCCTGAGAACCCCAAGGGACGTCAGGAGATGGGGACAGGACTGAGGCAGAGGTGGCCTGGATGCCTCTTGCATCAGTTGCGCGGGGGCAGTTGGTAATTCTGTGTATTCCATGCCCCACTCCAGATCCACTGAGGCCTGTCCCTTGTTCTTAGGGGACTCTGCTGTGAGCCGCTGGGCCGAGGGCTGAGGTGGGAGTCGTGGCCCCGTCCTGCTTGCCCACACCTTACCCCTTGTGCCCTGTCTGTTGACACCAGGTGGACAAAGCTGCTGCTGGTCTCCTGAGTATCGGCCTTCGCAAGGGTGACCGGCTGGGCATGTGGGGACCCAACTCCTATGCATGGGTGCTCTTGCAGCTGGCCACCGCCCAGGCGGGCATCATTCTGGTGAGGAGGGGTGGACCTGACCCAGCTGGGTATGCAGGGGAACATCATTCGTGGGAAGCCTGCTGGCCCCTTGGCCTCAGAACCAAACCAGCGCCTGTCTGGCTCTTTGGGTAGCTTTCTCCTGAAACCACCAAGGAGAGCCAGGGGGGTAGGGTGCCACCTCTGTCTACGCCGTGTTTCTGTGCCCGCTGAGGGTGGAGGGGCAAGGAGAGGGACAGGGTCTTCCCAGGACACTGACATCCCCTGCTGTCTCCACCAGGTATCTGTGAACCCCGCCTACCAGGCTATGGAACTGGAGTACGCCCTCAAGAAGGTAGGCTCCGCTCCTGGGGGTGGGGCTGGGTGGGTGCCTGGAACAGGGGGCTTCCGGTTGACGGGGTGGGGAAGGCATGTCTGTCCTTCCTTAGGCTGAGAGTGGGTGGGAGGAGGAGGTAGTTGGGCAGATACGAAGCTGGTGTGTGTGTGGGGGGGTGGTACATGCATGTGTCCTGGCAGTAGTGTGTGAGTGAGTTGGTGTGTGTCGTGTTAGCGGTGGTGCATGTGTGTAAGGGTAGTGGTGCGTGTGTATGAGAGAGAGCAGCGTGGGGCTTCCTGCTGACTGGGGAGGGGGGGCTCCCTCCCACAGGTGGGCTGCAAAGCCCTGGCGTTCCCCAAGCAATTCAAGACCCAGCAGTACTACAACATCCTGAAGCACATCTGTCCGGAACTGGAGAAGGCCCCCCCGGGGTTCTTGAGGAGTCAGAGGTGGGATGTCCCGGGTTAGCATGAGTGTATCGTGTGGCATCCCAGCCCCCTCCTTCCCTCCCCACCCCCAGGGAGGAGGCTGGTGTCTCTGTGGGCCCGTCCTCAGCCCCTGACTCTCTCCATCCTCCCTACCCCCAGGCTCCCAGACCTGACCACTGTCATCTCGGTGGACACCCCTATGCCAGGGACCCTGCTCCTGGACGATGTGGTAGCAGCGGGAAGCAAAGAGCAGAATATGGCCGAGCTCCGGCACGCCAAGCTGTTCCTGTCCTGCCACGACCCCGTCAACATCCAGTTCACCTCGGTAAGGCAGAGGTCGTCAGCACGGAGCCCAGGCTGGCATGCTCACCCCTGCCAGCCCCTGTGACCCTTCCCCGAGAAGGAGGGCACACGGAGGACGCCAGGAGTGCGGCCACTCTTCTCCTGGGGCTCACTCCAGCTGTCCTCTCTGCCCTGGAAAACATCAGCGACTGGCGCCCTTGTCACATGTCCCCCGTGGTACATGCATGAGTGAGTTGGTGTGTGTCGTGTTAGCGGTGGTGCATGTGTGTAAGGGGTGGTGCATGTGTGTATGAGAGAGAGCAGCGTGGGGCTTCCTGCTGACTGGGGAGGGGGGGCTCCCTCCCACAGGTGGGCTGCAAAGCCCTGGCGTTCCCCAAGCAATTCAAGACCCAGCAGTACTACAACATCCTGAAGCACATCTGTCCGGAACTGGAGAAGGCCCCCCCGGGGTTCTTGAGGAGTCAGAGGTGGGATGTCCCGGGTTAGCATGAGTGTATCGTGTGGCATCCCAGCCCCCTCCTTCCCTCCCCACCCCCAGGGAGGAGGCTGGTGTCTCTGTGGGCCCGTCCTCAGCCCCTGACTCTCTCCATCCTCCCTACCCCCAGGCTCCCAGACCTGACCACTGTCATCTCGGTGGACACCCCTATGCCAGGGACCCTGCTCCTGGACGATGTGGTAGCAGCGGGAAGCAAAGAGCAGAATATGGCCGAGCTCCGGCACGCCAAGCTGTTCCTGTCCTGCCACGACCCCGTCAACATCCAGTTCACCTCGGTAAGGCAGAGGTCGTCAGCACGGAGCCCAGGCTGGCATGCTCACCCCTGCCAGCCCCTGTGACCCTTCCCCGAGAAGGAGGGCACACGGAGGACGCCAGGAGTGCGGCCACTCTTCTCCTGGGGCTCACTCCAGCTGTCCTCTCTGCCCTGGAAAACATCAGCGACTGGCGCCCTTGTCACATGTCCCCCTCCCCTGGCCCGCTTGTCCCCGGCCCAGGGGCAGATGCACAGGGAAAGCTGGCCCCCTCATTTAGCAGATGGGGAAATTGAGGCCCAGAAGCCGAGTCTGCTGCTGGGCCACAGAGTTCTCTAAGCCACTTGGGTGGCATGGCGGACGGAAATCTTATCTTCCGTGTTTCTGGATCCTAACACCTGGCACCACGCAGGCGTGTGGTAAAAACCTTTGTGAACACGTATGGAGCGAATGAATGATCTGGGCCGCAGTCCCAGTCTCCTGACCCCCAGTCCAGAGCTTGTCCATGCAGCGGCCCAGGGCATGAAGGAGATGGGGAGAAAGAGGCCAAGTGTCACCTGTTTGTCTTGTCAGGGAACGACAGGAAGCCCCAAGGGGGCCACCCTTTCCCACTACAACATTGTCAACAATGCCAACATCATAGGGGAGCGCATGAAACTGCACCTGAAGGTGAGGGGGTGCTGGCTAAGGCTTGCGGGCACCCTGCATGGGTGGGGGTTTTGCTGGGCTCCCCCTGCTGGCTAGAGGAACTAGCTTCTGGGGCTTTGGGCTCCAGGATAGACCTAGCCTCCTGCCTCCATCTCCAGACACCAGAGGAGTCGAGGGTGATCCTGCCCACCCCCCTGTACCACTGCCTGGGTTCTGTGGGGGGCACAATGGTGAGCATGATGCACGGTGTCACCCTCATCCTGTCCTCTCCGATTTTTGATGGCAAGAAAGCGCTGGAGGCCGTCAGCAAAGAGAGGTGGGCATCAGTGGGCAGCTACCTGCTGGCTCATGAGACCCTCCTATTCCTCACTCCTGGGCCCCGATCACTCTCCAGGATGTCTCCTCCCTCCCGCCAGGAGAAAGGGAGACAGGGTAGTGGGGCACCCCCGGAGAGCATCAGTTCCTGCCTCCAAAGAACTCCTGCCTGTTCCCCTCAGTGGCAGCCTTGGCCCTTACTATAGGTTCAAGGTGGGTGGTTGAAAAGAGGGGGTTTACTTCTACATCCAAGCCTGATTTTGAGATGCCACCCCCCCCTTATACAGAGGCTCCTTCCTGTATGGCACCCCCACAATGTTCGTGGACATTCTGAACCAGCCAGACTTCTCCAGTTACGACATCTCAACCATGCGTGGAGGTGGGATGGGGCCAAGGGTGGTCAGGCCAGGATTGGCCTGGATGAGCTAGATGTGCACCCAGTCCTTTACTCAGGGGCGAAAAGGTCACTGTAGAAATGTGGGTGGAAGGGAGGCAAGGTCCCAGCCACCTGGACACCAGCCCAAGGCCAGATGCCAAGTGTAGGAACAGGTCCAGGGGCAGGGAAGAGAAGGGAAAGTTCTTCCCTAGAAAGAGCTGTAGGTGCAGGGGGTCCACTGGGCCTGGAGAAGCAGTGAGCCGTGTCAGCCCTCTCTCTGATTCAGGTGTGATCGCTGGGTCCCCTGCACCCCCCGAGGTGATCCGAGCCATCATCAACAAGCTGAACGCGAAGGAGCTGGTGGTGAGTGGCGACCGGGGCTGGGGCTGGGGCTGTGGGAGGGAGGCAGGGCAGCCTGGGGTGAGAACAGATGTCGGGGAGTGGGGCTGAGCCAGGCCAGGTCTCCAACGTAGAGCCTCTCAGCCCACCCCTCTTCCAGAAAACCGATGTGAGAAAATGCAGTCTGACCCCATCATCAGCTGGCGAGTCATGGAGACAGGGAACGGCGGGGAGTAACTATCATACATACATACATTTATACTCATAGGAACCTGGGGAAGAGGTGCAGCAGGGGGGGTATTTGGCAAAGCACCGGTATCCTGCTAGAGCGTCCTGGCAGGCAGGGGCTGGCGGAGTTGGCATATGGGCTTAAGACCCTTTCTGGACACAAGGGGCGGGGCAAGGATCTGATGTTTGTTTCCAAATGGAAGGGTGGCCATCCTGATGACCGCCCAGTTCTGGTTCTGAAGGTCTTGAGGGTCTCGGCAACAGCTTCTTTGAGAGGAGCCGTGGCGGGGGGGCCAGGTGTGATGGAGCCCTCGCTGGCAGGTAGAGAGGGTGTGGCTGGGTTCACGCTGGAGTGCTGAGCCCCCCAGCCAGGACGCGTCTAGGTGTGGACAGCTCTGTGCATCAGCAGAGGCTGTGGAAGGAGGTGGGGGTGGTCAGTAGTTTCTCCAGCAGAAGGCAGAGACCAGTCACCAGGACTGGCTGGATCAGGACCTGCAGTGAGGCAAGGATTGGGTCAGGACTCCAGGAACCCAGATGACGCTTGGAGAGAATGGTGAGAGCTGTGGGCGGTATCCCTTTAGGAGGGAGTCCCAGTTCCCCTCCTCTCCCTGCAAACCTGGAGGGCCTGCATGCCCCTCTGTGGAGAGGGAGTACCCTGGGACACCCCCTCCCCCGCCCCCTGGCTTGCCAGTATCTCCAGAGAGAGCAATTGTGACCTGCCTGCCCTGTGCCCACCTGTTCAATGGCGGCCGGCTTTCTTGGACCTCTTAGTGGGGAACTTGCAGCTGCGGAAGGCGTCCGTGTCACGGATGTGCTGGCCCTTGAACTTGGCAGGCGAGGCACAAGTGGCATCGGGGCGCGAAGTCTTGGCTTCCAGCCACCTGGAGAGACAGAGAAATGCCGGGGTTGGGGAAGGGATGTGGCAATGCTGGGGGGAGGAACCAGGATTCACTTGGCTCCAGGAGCGTCTGGGAACTGTCCCCTTCATTTCACACGCATAGGAACTCTGCTCTCAGGTAGCAGATCTAGGCCATTTGCCCAGGACGTCTTTGTGCAGGGCCAGCCTGCCTCCCCTGCATCACACGAGGGAGGGCTCTGGGGGGGGGGGGGGGGGGGGGGCC